AATTCCAAATTCTGATTCAAAAGGGTTAAGAGAGTTCAAAGTTAATACCTATACTAACAAAGTGCACTTTCTTTATCGGTGGCTCGACCATAATAACTTAAGCAATTCGATGTTGGGTGAGCTCCTGAGAATAACTGCAAGGGAATCTCGAGACACATAGATCCCGAATCCGAATTCCAAATTCTGATTCAAAAGGGTTAAGAGAATTGAAAGTTAATAGTACTCAAGCAATTCTATCAGAATAGATGTAAGGGAATGACAAGACACATAGATGCCGAATCCGAATTCCAAATTTGGGATAAAGGGTATTCTAAAATCTATTAATTACGCGTCTATAAAAGTTAATTTTTTTTAATATATTAAAAAAAAATTCGAAATTAGGAATACCATAAATGAAGGTTGGTACAATTTCATGTCATTATATATAAAACAAAGTGTTTACTATAATGTGTTAATGGGGCTTCTAAATTTGGGTATAATGTAACCATCATAGAGACTATTTGTCACTATAAGCCAGCTAATATGAGCTACATTCTTACGCTCTGAAACACCCATTTTGTTCACGCTTTTGAAGTTCATAAATGACCGTTCAATTCATGAAATTGAATTCGTTCTTTATTTTGCTAAAAAAAACATTTATGTTATTTAAACTTCGATAGAAGTTTCAATTCAGTCCCTAAATTTTAGTTTGTAACGATTTAGTCCTTGTACTTTCAAAGTTGGAATAATTTAGTCATTGATTTTTTTTACGTGTAATAATTTAGTGTTTATATTTTTGAATTTGTAACAATTGAATTTCTATCCTGAAAAAAAATGTCTTAATCTCTATTTACCCATTAAAATTTTAAATAACTAACTATAATCTTTTTTTAAAAAAATCTTAAAAAATTAATATGTTAGGTTCTAACCACGTAATTTCTAAAAAATCAAATTTTAATTTTTTATATATATATATATAAGCGGGAGAATTGGGTGGGGTTCGGGGAGTATAAATTTTTCCTCGACCCCATTTATCTAATGGAAAAAATGTTTCCCACTCGTTCCCCATTCTCTAATTAAACGGGGACTTTCCTCCCCGTTCATGACGGATAAAATAGGTATTTCTACCTATTAAAATTTAAAAAATAAATCATTAAAATTTGTAAAAAAATTAATCTCTATATTTTGTATATAGTCTTTATTAAAAAATTTGTAAAAAAAAAAGTAATAAATTAATATATTTCATAAGTATAATATAATTTTAAAAACTTGGAAATTTAATATTACAATACAATCTTTTAACAATTAAAAAAAAAATCTATTAAGTATTATGATTAGAGTGTCAAAATTAATTATTTTTTTTAATATATATGTATTAATATATTCATATCGGTTGAAACTATATTTATATTTATATTAAACGAGATGGAGTGGAGATTTGGGGCGAGAATGGGGACAGAGAATATAATACCGTCCCTGACCCCATTTGTGTAACAGAGAAAAAAAATGTTCTCCACTGTCTCTCCACTTTCCGTCTAAACAGTGAATCCCCTCTCCGTTTGAGACAAGTCTCTGCAAGTAAAATAGACATCTATACTCCCGTGCATAGGTAAAGTCAAATGACAATTTTATTTTTAGAAAAAAAAAAACATGTTTTTAAGAAACCAAAAAAAATCCATATTAATTTAATTGTCGTTTATAATTGTTTGTCGTTTATAATTGTGACATTTTATCTATCATAATTAGAAAAATGTAGTTGTTGAGTAAAGTATATTATTTAAATATCATTTGGTCTATAGTTTGTTACAAATTACAACTTAATCTTAATTTAATTATTCCTAATTGAGTGCAAGCAACCAAAAGCTATTTATATTAATCATATTTTAACTATAAATATAAACTTAGAAATTAACCACTCTTTGTTGTTTTTTACTTTAATTTCATTTATATCTTTAATTATTGCATTAATTACCCATTTAAATGACATGTAACATCTCTTTCACTTTCTCCTAATTTATCAAACATCTCATTTTTAGCTGTTGTAATAAATTTCATTAAATAGTTAGTGTTGAGAATATTCAAAATAAAATAAATAAATAAATATAAACCTATGGATGATTTGTTTTAAAAAAATTAATTGGACGGCTCGGGTACGATCTAAAACGATCCTACGTCTTAGAAAGAATCGAATAATGGGGGAAGCTTTTCGTGTCTTCTATAACAACTAGAAATACGGTTGTTTTTCGGATTTGAACTTTTGTGTCTTTTAAGCTTAGATCTCGTTAGGGGTGGATTGTGATGTCCCACATTGGTTGGGGAAGAGAACAAACCACCATTTATAAGGGTGTGAAAACCTTCCCGTAGTAGACGCGTTATAAAGCTTTGAGGGGAAGCATGGAAACCTAATCTTTGCTTAGCAGACGGCTTTTAAAGCCTCCCAGTGAAGCTCGAAAGGGAAAGCTCAAAGGACAATATCTGCTCCCAGTGATATGGGAAAACCCAAAACAATATCGGTTAGCGGTTGATCTGGGCAAGCCCAAAGAGGACAATATCGGTTAGCGGTGGATCTGGGCAAGCCCAAAGAGGACAATATCGGTTAGCGGTGGATCTGGGCAAGCCCAAAGAGGACAATATCGGTTAGCGGTTGATCTGGGCAAGCCCAAAGAGGACAATATCGGTTAGCGGTTGATCTGGGCAAGCCCAAAGAGGACAATATCGGTTAGCGGTTGATCTGGGCAAGCCCAAAGAGGACAATATCGGTTAGCGGTTGATCTGGGCAAGCCCAAAGAGGACAATATCGGTTAGCGGTTGATCTGGGCAAGCCCAAAGAGGACAATATCGGTTAGCGGTTGATCTGGGCAAGCCCAAAGAGGACAATATCGGTTAGCGGTTGATCTGGGCAAGCCCAAAGAGGACAATATCGGTTAGCGGTTGATCTGGGCAAGCCCAAAGAGGACAATATCGGTTAGCGGTTGATCTGGGCAAGCCCAAAGAGGACAATATCGGTTAGCGGTTGATCTGGGCAAGCCCAAAGAGGACAATATCGGTTAGCGGTGGATCTGGGCAAGCCCAAAGAGGACAATATCGGTTAGCGGTGGATCTGGGCAAGCCCAAAGAGGACAATATCGGTTAGCGGTTGATCTGGGCAAGCCCAAAGAGGACAATATCGGTTAGCGGTTGATCTGGGCAAGCCCAAAGAGGACAATATCGGTTAGCGGTTGATCTGGGCAAGCCCAAAGAGGACAATATCGGTTAGCGGTGGATCTGGGCAAGCCCAAAGAGGACAATATCGGTTAGCGGTTGATCTGGGCAAGCCCAAAGAGGACAATATCGGTTAGCGGTTGATCTGGGCAAGCCCAAAGAGGACAATATCGGTTAGCGGTTGATCTGGGCAAGCCCAAAGAGGACAATATCGGTTAGCGGTTTGTTGGGTCAACCTCCAAACACTCTTGAACATAAGGTTACAAGCTAATTCAATTCTACCGGCCTTAACAAAAAAAAAAAAAATGTTTCTACAAATTCATGGACGAACAAAAGAACACCAACAACCACGATCGTCTTCATCGTAAGCTCTGGTGAAAGCCTTGAAAAATCTAAGGCTGTGGTTGGTGGTTGGATTATTCTTTGGCCATTTCTTCACTCTTCTTTCTCTCTGTATCTTGCTGTGAAAATGACAAAGAAGGAACGAAAACAAGAACACTTCAATAAAGCTTCCTTTTCCAATTTCCCCTCTGGCTCTGTTAGCCCCACCATCGCCATTTCTGTTTTTTTCTGAAATCATCGACAATTCTAATCGGGATTTTTTGTGGGTGAGTGAAGAAATACGAATTTGTCGGCAATTTCATATGGACCCACGTTTTTCAATAATGTTCTAAACAAATCCCTCTTCTTCTCATTCTCTGAACTCTTCACTCACTGTCCCATGTGCAACGAGCGCCTACTGTTTGGAGCCTTCGATCCAATGAATCGGCTGTTGAGGCTATGACCCATTTCTGAAATCATCTATCTCTCTTGATTTTCGCCTTTTTTTCTGTGATTTGGGTTTCATGGATCCTCGCACCCGTCTGGATCATGCTCTGTTTCAGCTCACTCCGACCAGAACCAGGTTAGTTTTTCTGGGGTTTTGAGATTAATTGTTTGTGTTTCTGGGTTTTGTCCTGATGTTGTTTGTGTGATTGTTTAAGATGTGATCTGGTTATCTCCGGCATTGGAGGTGCGACTGAGAAACTGGCATCTGGGCTTCTTCAGCCGTTTATCTCCCACCTGAAATGTGCTAAGGATCAGATTTCCAAGGGGGGTTACTCCATTACTCTTCGCCCTGTTGCAGGATCAAACGCTTCTTGGTTCACTAAGGGCACTCTTCAGAGGTCATTTGTTCTTCTCTTTTGGTATTCTGGATCCAAGCTTTTGCTGGTTTGTCATTTGCGTAATTGTTACTGTTTTGGGGATTTGATGATATAGATTTGTGAGATTTGTTAGCACGCCTGAAGTTCTTGAGAGATTTGTTACTACAGAGAAGGAGATTGTGCAGATTGAGAGTTCTATGTCCACAGATGCAGAAGGTAATGAATAGAACAATTGGTACTGCAATAAGCTTGTTCTTGGCAAATATGATATGATGCTTTGATAACTAGAGCTATTGATATGTTGATATGTTCTCCGAGTTTTTGGGATGCATTCACTTTAGTATTGTTCTCTTTGGGCTTTCCCTCTCGCACTTCCCTTATAAAGAATGTTTCGTTCTACTCCCCAATCGATGTGAGATCTCACAATGCTTCGTTCCCTTCTCCAATCGATGTGGAACCCCACAATCTACCCTCCTTTGGGGCCTAGTGTCCTTGTTGGCACACCACCTTGTCCACCCTCTTCGGGGCTCAGCCTCCTCGTTGGCACATCGCCCAATGTCTGCCTCTGATACCATTTATAACAGCCCAAGCCCCCCAGTCCACCCCCTTTTGGTTCCCAATGTCCTTGCCGGCACACCGCCTCGTGTCCACCCTCTTCGGGGCTATGCCTCCTCACTAGGACATCGTCTGGTGTCTAGCTCTGATACCATTTGTAAGAGCCCAAGGCCACTGCTATCGGATATTGTCCTCTTTGGCTTTCTCTTTCAGGCTTCCCCTCAAAGTTTTTAAAACGCGTCTTCTAGGGAGAGGTTTCCACATTCTTATAAAGAATGCTTCGTTCTCCTCCCCATCTGATGTGAGATCTCACAATCACCATGCTTGATGCATCTAAGGGTGTTTGACGTGGAATTGACAGGAAACACGACGACTGCTGATTGGAACTCGAAAAGATCTAGCCCCACCTCGAGGGTAAGTCGTTTTGTTTTTGTCATTCCATGGAGATGCAATGTCTTGTGGATGTTTATGCAGTGATGTTGGATCTTTTATTATGATGGGGCAAACAGGTGAAGGGCGATTCGGATGAATATAATGACGATGCTGCATCGAAGGAGAATCCCAAGTAATATCAGCATTCATATTACTTCTGGCTAATTAGTATATCTGTTAGATTTAGTGTTGCATATTGTCTAATGCACTGATTTTTCAGTAATGGGTAATCTACAGGGTCTGCCTTCAGCGTGTTCTAGAGACTCGAAAAGCAGTGCTGCACAAAGAGCAAGCAATGGCTTATGCCCGTGCTTTAGTCACAGGATATGAGCTGGATCATATTGATGATCTTATATCTTTTGCTGATGCTTTTGGAGCTTCACGTTTGAGGTATGAATTCTGGCATTTATTGGTATGATTGGTTTGTGGCATTTCTCTCTTGTTGTTAGCTTTGAAGTTATTGACGGTTTCACATAGATCGTAACGGCTCAAGTCCACCGCTAGTAGATGTTGGCTTCCCCTCGAGACTTTTAAAATTCGTATGCTAGGGAGGGGTTTCCACACCCTTATAAAAAACGTTTTGTTCTCCTCCCGAACCGACGTGGGACCTCATAATACACCTCTTTCGGAGCCCAGCGTTCTCGCTAACACTTGTTCCCTTCTCCAATCGATGTGGGACCCCCCCATCTACCCCCTTCAGGGCCCAGTGTCCTTGCTGGCACACTGCCTCGTGTCCACTCCCTTTGGGGCTCAGCCTCTTTGCTGGCACACCGCCTCGTGTCCACTCCCTTTGGGGCTCAGCCTCCTTGCTGGCACACCGCCTCGTGTCTACCCCCTTCGGGGCTCAGCCTCCTTGTTGACACACCGTCTCGTGTCCACCCCCTTTTAGGGCTCAGCCTCCTCGCTGGCACACTACCTGGTGTCTGGCTCTGATACTATTTGTAACAGCCCAAGCCCACCGCTAACAAATATTGTCCTCTTTGGCTTTCCCTTTCAGACTTCCCCTCAAGGTTACTAGAGAGAGATTTCCACACCCTTATAAAGAATGTTTCGTTCTCCTACTCGACCAATGTGGGATCTCACATAGATAGTACCTTCTTGTTTTACTCCTTAGAAAGACGGATCGTTGTTTCTTGACAACATGCACTCGAGATTCAGTCTATTATCGATAAACATCTCTTTATTTCCTCATTCATGACTTTGGTTTTCCTTTTCCGAGAGAGTGTTCGTTTAAATATTAGATAAAGCATAAAGCACTATAATTTTGTTGATTTAGGGAAGCATGTATAAACTTTATGGACTTATGCAAGCAAAAGAATGAAGATAAACACTGGATAGACGAAATAGCAGCTATGCAGGCATTCTCCCAGCCAGCATTTCCTTACTCGGAAACTTCCGGTATCGTACTAGCCGGTGAAGACAACGAAACTAACGTCAATGCTCAAGCACCAAGATCGGATTCGACTGCAAGTCAAGGAAGTTTGGATAACAATCAAGGTATGCCAATGCTTTGATTTACATATATACTATGGGCTGTCTGATTTTTCTGAAAACTAGTTCTTATGTAAACCGATCTCTGATCGATCTAAGTTCATATGGTCGGAATATAAGCAGACGGTAGCCTTCCAAAATCGGCGCAAATGCCATCGTTGAATGGGAAAGCTCAAATGCCAATGGCATGGCCGAATCATCTTCCTCAGTATATGCACAACTTTCATGGTCCATATCAAGGATATCTCTTGCCCGGAATGCAGATGCCGCCACCATATTACCCGGGGAATATGCAGTGGCGATCAAATGCCGATGACTCGAGTCTTGTTTCTGATCGAGAACCGAATGGTCGTAGGAGTTCTAAATCTCATAAGAACAAGAAGAAACTTTCACATAAGGAGGTTCCCAGAACTTCAGAACAAGAAGGAACTACTGAGTCAAGTGAATCCAGTGTTGATAGTGAATCAGATGAACACTCCGATGACGAGAAGATACGTAAGAAACGGCATGGAAAGAAGTCCTCACGAACGGTTGTTATTCGAAATATCAATTACATAACCTCAAAGAAGAATGGTGAAAAGGGCAGCCACTCGGAGGATGATTCATCTGATGAGGGTGAGTTTATTGATGGGGATTCCATCAAACAGCAGGTAGAGGACGCGGTCGGGACGTTGGAGAGAAGACATAAACCAACGAGTCGACGCCAAAAGAAACAGAATGGCTATGGCAATGCTGATGACTTAAATGATTCTGCAGGACAGGAGACTAACCGGGTGTCGAACAATTCCGAGGGAGAAAAGATCAGTAGCCCATGGGATGCTTTCCAGAGTCTTATTATGCGAGAAAACGAGCCCGATAACTCGGACAAACTGCCCTCGATTCAGAATCAAGACATCCATTTTACAGAATCAGAGAAAGCACCAAGACAGCGTGAAGTTTCAAGTGATTCTTTCATCATGACAGACAGGAACTCAGCTAATGAAGGAAGAACACATATTGAAAACTTTGAAGCTGGTGATGTTTCCAACCCAATTAACAGGAGAGAAAGCACATATGAAGAGCTATTATTTTCACAAAGAGGCGGAGAATCGAGGAACGATGCACATTCCATGACGTCCGATCTTACCGTGTCTTCGAGAATGAAAAATCAAAGAGATGGTGATTGGTTTGTCAGCAATCCAGCTGATAAATCCAACAATCAGTATCACAACATCGGTCCCGGAGTTTACGACACCGACTTCTCTTCATCAGCTCAAGAACATCTCTATGCAGAGAAGCACAAAAAAGATGTTTTGACTGATGACTCATTCATGATTCAGCCTCGACCATTAGTAGACGACCAATCCAACTTTCAATCGAGACGAGACATAAGCATGGTATCGGACATTATTGGGGATGCCGAACAAGAAACCTCACGAGATGATAAGCCTGCAACTTTTGGTGTCAGTGAACCAGATGACCTTTACATGATGCTCGATCGAGACATAGCTATAGAGCAGACCGTAGCATCTTGGACACCTGAAATGGACTATGAAAATAACTTTTCGACCATAGCCAATGGTAAACACAATGATATTGGACCTGACCGCGTTGACGATCAAGAGTCACCTGGTTTCGAAAAGAGCAACAAAAACAAAGAATCTGGTAGCAAAGTTTCAAGTAAAGAAACAAGATCCAAAGCTTTGGGAGGATCTCTTGTTCAATCAAGAACAAGAAAACCAGTTTCTGGTAGCAGAACTATAGTTCATAAGAGCAAATTTGAGAAGGTATTTTGATTATGAATTCAATCTCCAAAATACATACACTACAGTTCATAAGCTCCTTTTCTTCTTCGTGTTACAGGAAGAAGAGACGAGAAAGAGACTGGAAGAACTGGCGATTCAGCGACAGAAAAGAATTGCTGACCGGAGCGCGTCGAGTAAATTTGGTAGTGTGAGTTCTAAGCCTGGTGTGTCTAAGATTGAGAAGCCAAAAAGCCAAGCCCAGGTTCAAGAAGATAAGAAGTCACCTAAGCCTGTGCTTAGGAGTTCGACCATAGATCGCCTTGCAATGGCTCGTACACCTCAGAAGTTGTCTGCAACTCGATCGCCATCAGGTCAACAAAAAAAGACGATCTCATCAGGAAAGCTCCCGAAAACCGACAGTAAGAACCTTATCTCGAACAAAGTAAAACCTTCCAATTTAAAAAACGGGCACAAGAAATTGAGTAAGGCACTTTCTTCTGATTCTTATGGTCAGACAACAACGGATGGCAAGAACGACGAAGCCGCATTGCCAGCGGAGTCGATGATACCGATACCGAATGCAACTCAACCGATCGACAATGTTGATGACAATATGGAAGATGTTAAGGAGCTACACACTACCCATTCAGTGGAGAAAAATGATGAAACTTTTCTTAGTTATTCAAACGACAAGGTTTTGTCTGTGCCAATTGAAGAACATACTGATTTAGTGGTCTTGTCCAATAAAGCCTTAGACCCTTCAGCTATGAACACCGGAGAAAATGGTGTAGCTGATCATATTGCAGCCACACCCGAGATTTCTGAGATCGAGATTGAAACCTCGACTCCTCCTCCCTCGACGAACGACATGATCTCGGAGTATACGACACACTCGAGGAAGAAATGGATGAGTGATGAAAACTCTCCCAAAGCACCTAAAGGTTTCAGAAAGCTACTCTTTTTCGGACGTAAAACCCGAAACACGTCCATGGATTGATCCTCCATCGGTTTATTCTCTGGTTAATTGGATTCCGTGCTAGCGGATGATTGTCTTGAGTTATTTGTTGAGATTGTTTGATTGTTGTGCAGATAATAGGTGAGTGATGAGTGAGATGAAGCTAGTAGATGATCCTTGTTCTTAATAAGGCCATGGATGATGCTGCCATGTTTGGATTGGTGTTTTAACTTATATTGTTTCATTTTTTTGCTTCAAGAGAGAGTTGTAAAAGGCAATGCTTATTCATTCCGTTTGTATAATGTTAATACAGTGTAATGTTACGTTAATAATTAAAATTTCAAGTATCAATCATTTACAAGTCACAGTGTATTATTAACGTCGGCTACAAATGTCAAATATTCTTGATTTTCATAATAATCTTGTTAAAAGTAAGGTAGTATTAGGTTCGGATGAGTTGTAACCCTATTTTTGGATCGGTTGAGTTGAACTATCAAAAAAAAGTGTCAATTCACAACCAACCTGTCAACTCGCTAACCAACCGGAATTTTCGTTTTGAGCTTGATGGGACTAGGGAGGATGGTTGGATTATAGAGCTAGTGGCAGATTGGCTCGAAGGTTTGTCCATTGGGTGATGAAAAATGACAAAAGAGAAACTCGTACCCTGGGTGGTGCAGCTGAGCCAGAGTTGACTCAGTGTCATGGTCATACTCGTCCAAGGCGTGTTATCCATGGCCGCATACCCATGACAAGCCAAACCCTTTATGTCTTTTCATATTGTAGTGTTTTACTTTTGTATTTCTAGGAAGTATGACGTTTCGGAAAAATCATGTTTAGGCTTGCCAGACATGAAATGCCTCAGAATGTATATAAGGGGATACGACTAGTTGTCAATTTCTCTCTACCCAAGGTTATATACTATGAGCCGTTGTTGTTTCTCTCTTGCTTGCTTATATAATGTCTCTTTAAAAAAATCTCTCTCTGCCCTCGTTTTCTAAAACCTTCTCTTAAACCGAGGCCAAAGGCTCGAGCATACGTCGCTTGGCCGTAGGCGACGTAAGAACCAATTGACTTAGCTCACTTGTCGTAAGAAAGTGAGTGCCGCACAATCGCAAGTCCGCTGCCATCTAGAGTGCGACTGTGACACTCAGCAGTCAGCCTATGTTTCCGAGCGCTAAAAATTCAACCCAACCTAAACTGAAAAAGAAAAAATCTAACACAACCCAACTTTTTATGGTTTTAAAAATATAAAACACCACTCCTTTCAAAAGATAGGAGGACAATATATATATCTTATCGACACGACAATCTCCCTTTTAAACATGAGAGTGTTCACTCGCGATCAACTGTCGGGTTCACTATTTTTGAGATGGCAAACGATGCATACTAAATTCGAAACTTAAATAAATATTAGAATACGAAGATGTATATTTAAATGTTAATATATATATTTAATTCAAGCATTGAGGGATGAACTAAAGTAATTGAGATTATAAATTGGAACAAAGATCAACTCCTAGAATCTAGATCTAGACATGTCTGGGCCCACATAGTTTTTTCCAAATACGATGACATGGCATCCTCTGATTGGATAATGAGTATAAGTGATCTGTGTACAGACTGTATAACATTGACAATTGTCACCTCAACTCAAAAGCAATTAAAAAGACAATGAAGGACAACCAAACTTCGTTATGCTGCTGTCTTGAAATCCCAACCGTTGATTGGATCAAGAAAAGGAGTCAGATCAGCCGTTGGATTTGTTTTTCCTTGAGGACATAATTGGAAATAAAGAAAGTTGGTGGGCTTTAATTGTTCTGGAAGCATCTGCTACTTCTTTCCTTCTCTTATACACAATTTCCCCCCACCGACAGTCAGGTGAGGCATCTAATTCTTTCTCAAATCCCCATTTTACCCTTTTATATAAAATAAAATAAAATTTGTTTTTTTTTTCAATTTTTTTTTATTTTTATGATGTTAAATTCATGGGTTGAGATATCTACGGGCAAGGCGGAGATGGGAAAGCCTTCTCGGTCCCCGTCCCCGTCTCCATTTCCGCCACTTATTTCATTCTCTATTTCTATAAAAATTTTCATTTATTTTTACGGGATCAAATTCTCGGTAGATAATTTTTATTTATTTATTTTTCTTATTTTAAAGTTTTGTTTTTTTAATATAATATTTATTAAAAAAATTTTAAAAAAAATAATAAATCAATATATTTAATAAGGAAAGAAATCTTCTTTAATTTAAATATTATAATAGTATCAAATTCACTATTTTTTTTTTTTTAATGTAGCTAAAAAATGTATATCTATATATATTCAAAATATAATTATTTAAAGTTGGGGCTAGGTGGAGATGGAGACGAGTCATATCCCCCTACCCGATAGTTATATATTGTAAGCTATTGTTGTTGTGCTTTTTGCTTGCATCACATATAACACCGATTTCAATATTTCAAATCTTGCTTTTAAAACTCTCTTTCGAAATCTCTTTGTCCCTGTTTTCTTAGATCGAGGCAAGAGGCTCGAGCATACGTCATTTGGTTGTAAACGACACAAGAACGAATTGGCTTAGCTCACTTGTTGCTGGGAAGTGAGTGTCGCACGATCGTAAGTTCGCTGCCATCAAAATTACAATTGTGACACCAACTCCATTTATAGAACAGAGCTAAAATGTTTCACCCCCTCCTAGTTTCCGTCTAAACAGAGAATCCCCTTCTCATTTGGAGCGAGTATCTACCGGGCCTGACCTCACGTAGGTAAAGTAGACATCCACCGAAGGTATGACGAAACACGTGATAGCTGAGTTTTTTTTTTTTTTTTTTTTTTAAAAAAGAATTTATTTTTTTAAATTATCA